AAAATGGAGACATTTTTAGGTAACCAGATGCATCTCTATAATCTTAATCTTAGTGAAATAAATCAGACACACATTTAAATGTCATGTTCCTTCCCTTGTGTGAGAAACCCAGTGTAAATAAGGAGCAAAATGGAGGATAGATATTGGAAAGTTCAAAAAAACCTTGTTCAAATGGCAAAGGGAATGAGAGAGAAGGGAAGAAGGAAAAAGGGATTTTAAAAAGTGAATGGAAGGGGCCGAGGATTTAGCTCAGTGGTTCCGCCTTCTGCCCCACAAGCGCAAGGTCCTGAATTCGATCACTGATACCAAAAAAAAAAAAAATGAATGGAAGATAAAAATGGCAACAGAGTTTTTGTAAATGGGGAGAGAAAAAAGGGATAAAGGGAGAGGGGAATGGGAAAAAAAGAAATAAGATGTATTATGTAGAGGTACAGATTCCCCATGATGAGTGTGATCATTATGAATGGCAAAACATGTACTAATAATGAAAAATAAAGTTAGACATAACCCAACGTTGGCTTTATACAACTTGCTTGATGATGCTTTTTTAAAAGTACTAAATGTACTTGGCGGTCCAGAAGTGGTAAGAAAATCTACTGAGAAGATTAGGGGCAGAGATGGTTTGCCAGGAAGTATGTGTGACATTTCACAGCTTGGAGGAAGCAGACTAAATGAAGATCGAAACCAGTTTCCAAAGCTTGACTTTGCGTGGGGTAAAAATCTAGGCATGTGACTGTAACTGCCTCCTTTTGCATACTTTGAGCTTGATAGGAATATTGTGTTGAATCTTGACTTACGTGGCATTGTGTTTTCATGGGTTTCTTTGCTTATGTGTTTGTTCCAGACCCCTGTAAAAGAGCCCAACAGTGAAAATGTAGATATCAGCAGTGGAGGCGGCGTCACGGGCTGGAAGAGCAAATGCTGCTGAGCGTTCTCCTGTTCCATCCACTGCCATCCGCCACCTGTTTCTCTCCTTGCTGCAAATAAACCACTCTGTCCATTTTTAACTCTAAACAGATATTTTTGTTCCTCATCCTAACTATCCAGTCCACCTGTTTTATTTGTTCTTTCATCTGTGACTGCTTGCTAACTTTATTATAATTTTCTTCAAACAAAAATGTATAGAAAAATCATGTCTGTGACTTCATTTTAAATGTACTTGCTCAGCTCACCACTGCATTTCAGTTGTATTATAGTCCAGTTATCAACTTTAAAACCTATAACAACCATTTCAATTCTATTCTGCAAATTGTATAAGAATAAAAGTTAGAATTAACAATTTTATTTTGTACAACAGTGGAATTTTCTGTCATGGATAATATGCTTGAGTCCCTATTATCTATAGATGTGCGATAGCAAAAGAAACAAACAGAAGCCAGGAAAACACTCATTTTCATCTCAAATATGTAAATGGGGTTAATTTTGTCCTGTGCCTTATGTGAAAAGGAACTTACTTGGTTTTCCTTTTTTGTTCTGGTGGAAGCATATGCAGGAGACATACCATCCAACATAACCCATTAAAATATTTGTGGTTTGCTTGGCTGTAATTTTCAGAGTGGTTAATTGAGGACAAAGGGTAATGCAGAAATGATTTGGTTTGCTGAGTCTCGTTTTCAGTGGCCTTGATATTTAAAACTTCTTGCCACCAGTTCTCCTTGGCCACTTTTTCCGTGCTTCTCATCTTCCTGCATGCCACTTTATTTGCTTCTCCTTCCTACCACCTTATGGTAAGAGTTATTTAGAAATGAAAGGGGCAAACTAATAGGTTTGTCGAGTTTAACATAAAGCACTGATTTAACTTGCTAAGTAAACTAAAAGACAAATTCTAACCGCCTCCTATCCATGTCATTTAATTGGTGTCTTCCCCTCATTTACTCTCCCCTAAAACCTCTGCCCCAGATTCCTTCGTTCTACTTGGCTTCTGCGTTCTCCTTCCCTTTGTTCTCTTCCTGTCTACCCATTGAGTTTATGAAATGGAAGAGCTAATTGCATGCACTAGTGTTCAGAGGGTGTTGTGGTTTGTCTTCTAATTAGGTGTATATCCTATTCACTTTCCTAGAATAAGTCTCTTAACCTAAATTTGAGTAGTCTCCAGTTTGGCAACTCCTCTGGCAGTTTGGTAGCCCAGTGAAAACTTTTTAAAAAATGGGAAGGAGGAGTGAATTTTATTAACATGTTTGCCAAATGTATTGAGATTTGGCCTCCGAAGAACACTTTTTCAGTGTTAAGTTGTCTTTACCTTAAGATTCAGAGATACTTAGAAAATTATGAATTTTAAATCCTATCTTCACATCCTCGTGGAAAACTTATATCACCATGGATTTAGAAAAAGGACAAAAAGGCTTCTCATTTAAGATAGGACCTCTAGTCTGTTTCTAACCCTGTCCTTTCTTTTCATCCTTCTAGTTTTGCTTCATTGCTTGTCATTAGGATGGGGTAATGATTAGGGTTGCTGTGCTGCTAGCACCCTGAGATGATGCCTTTGTTGAAAGAATTGTGAATAGCATGATTCATCTCGAGCAGAGGCTGAGTTTAGGACAGCAGCTTCCATTGAAAAGTCTCTGTGTTGTGACATACATTTTAATGACCTCTTGGCTCACATAAACAACATAGGGACATATCTGTTATGAAAATCCATGAAGTTTTCAGATAGTGCCCTAAAAATGTTATATATGCCTCACTGGTGGTTGTTGTTGTTCTTAGGTTTTTCCCTCCCTTGACTTTATCATTGTTTACTAGTAAAAAGCAGCATTGCCAAATAATTGCTAATTTTCCACTAAAAAAATGAAATGAAAGGTTTTTGATAAGTTTTAGGTTAAACCTTCTGTGGTTAGATTAATGTATTCGTTTCTTCCCTTTATCTGGAATGTGGCAGTAACTTTTTTTGTTGTTTTTACTTTTAACCCTCTTTGGATCCTTATTCAATTCAGTGACTTAAGGTTTGAGAACTAAACACTGGGATTTTTGGGTAACAGACTGACAGTTTTGTTTGCATAATTATAATCGGCATTGTACATAGAAAGGATATGGCTACCTTTTGTTAAATCTGCACTTTCTAAATATCAAAAAAAGGGAAATGGAGTATAAATCAATTTTTGTATAATCTGTTTAAAACATGAATTTTATTTGCTTAATATTAGGGATTTGACCCGTTTCTGTAAGTCTCTTGGGACCCTATGTAGAAGCTGTTCTCATTAAACACTGAGCAGTTGAGTCCATTCTCTGGTACTGGCTACAAATTCGGTTTCATATCCTACTTAACAATTTAAATAAACTGAAATATTTCTAGATGGTCTACTTCTGTTCATATAAAAACAAAACTTGATTTCCAACTTTGTGGCTTGGTTTTCATTTATTCACATGGAATTGGAGATGAAGGATTTTTTCTGAAAACAACGCACAGTAGCAGACAAAATATATAAAGTTTCAAAAATAGAAGGGAAATAATTTTCTCACCCTATGGAAACCCGAGAAGGCAATTTCAAGAACTGTCTTTGGGACGGAACTACATAAATAGAAGGGTCGCTAGGACACTAAGGCAGAGTCACCTGGAGTAAAAATAGAAGCTGCTGTGGTCCCTGTCACCACCAGGGGCCAGGTGCAGCTGAGGCCAGCGCATTGCCTGAGGCACTGGAGTAGGCAGGGTGGAGTGCTTTTTACTTTGACAGTGGCTGACCTCACCTGAAAGTGTAAGGGATTTCCTACTGCTTGGGGAATCATAGCAACAGTTTCGGTTATTGGAAATACTCAATACTATCTTAAGGCCTCAGCATTTAATAAAAGAGGCCGGGGATTTAGCTCAGTGGTTTCGCCGCCTGCTGTGAAAGCTCAAGGAACCAAGTTCGATCCCCGGTACCAAAAAAAAAAATAAATGTTTGTTGGTAAGATTATCTTTGCTGGAAGGACGGCGCTGAGGAGACTGCAGTGTGTAAGGATCACCTGGAGTGTTTTTACACTGTCATGCGCCACCACCCCTCCACACGTGTCTAGGTTCAGGCCTCTGATTCCACCTTTGAGATTGGTAGAGGAAAATAGAAGTAGTCTCTGCCCTTAAATTTATCATCCGTCTCAGCAAAAGTAATTATATTTCTGGGTATGGTGGCGCGCACCTGTGGTCCCCGCACTCCGGGTTGAGGCGCAGGGACGTTAAATTCAAGGCCGGCCTGGACTACCTAGTAAGACGTGTCTCAAAAAAACTAAAAAGAAAAAATAATCCAATAGTCCTGATCCAGATTTTCAGTTCTGTATTAATAGAAGAGCCGGGAATTGCACGCAGCTAGGTTGGGGTGGAGAAGGGAGGCTTGGCTTGTGTGAGAAACCGGAAGTAGTGCTGGGCCCTTTGCGCGGCAGTGGGGAGTCACGGTGAGCTTTCGAGAGTGCTGAGCAGTGTGAAGAAAGCACGTCCAGATGGGTTGGAAGAGAGGACATCGGAAGGGTGTTCTACATTGTCCCTGAGGATTCAACAGAGCCTGGCTGAAAGGGCGGCTGAGGGAAATGCAGTGAAGGGCAATCTGGAAAGGGGACAAAGTATTTCTTGTGAGCCTGCTGCGTACTTGAAAGTCTGCCTTATCCTTCACCACCTTGATCATTTTACATCATGTTTCATTCTTGCCCAAAGCATCTTTTGGCTGAATGTTAACAGAAGGCTGTGGTTCGTCACAATTCCTTAATTGGCTTTCTGGAGCTGTACTTTGAGGAGGACTTTTGTTGCTTGATAACAGCCAGGACAGTGAGTGCCAGTGATAAAATAACTCAAGACAGAGCCAAGGGGAGAGAAGGCAGCGAAGATGGTGTGTGGCTTCTTCCTCTGGGGATCTGAAGGGGTTTGTGGCGGATGACGGATGAGCGTGTGGGAGAGGAGGGATGAGCGCAAAGCCGCGCCTTGTGGGGACTCCAAACCGAGGTGTCCAGCACCGCGCTGAGAAGGGAGGCCGTGCCTTCCTGTTGCGTGTAATTAGAGCATAACAGCTACTAAGGAAAGAATCTGGCACAAAACTCAGGAACTTCTACCTTACGGTCATGAACTGAGAGTCTCCAGTGCAGATTCGTCGGTCACGGGTACCAGTGAGACGCTGGGATGTTTCTGGAGCTGAAGTAGTAAAGTCCAGGTTTGTAGCTTTACGGCGCTCTTACTACGCACAGCGTGTTGCTTCTTACAGGGTGAGTGACATTCTCCTTAGACTCCGAAGTAGTCTCAGTCTTTTGCCTGGAGCTGCTGAGCAGTCCGTTCAGTGGGCGTCCTTCGTGCTTCAGTGGAGGGTTTAGAGGTCAATGAAAAATGTCCGTTTGCTTTAGATGCCAGAGGTGCAGGCAGCAGGGCTGATGGTGCTTGGGCAGTGGGGCTCACAGGGGAGGCCATTTCCCCTGTGCCCTGTGCAGGGCCGGCAGTGTCCACTGGAGCCCCTTAGTGTCGCGCCGTGAGTGATGCTTGTGGGCCCGGGAGGTGGCGAAGGCTGAGCTGCAGCAGACGTCGAGCAGAAGATGAGTGGGTGGCAGGTGAATTACCGGGGTGGCGTTACACTGCGGAGCCCTGCTCACCCACTGAAGTGTGACCTGGAGGAGAAATACTTGATGAGAACTGTTGACAGAATAAATCCTTAGGGTAAGGATCACTTTTTTGAGTTCAAACCCTAGACTGCCCGTGATTTTCAGAAAACTCGTGTTTTCTGAGCGCGCGGCGTGGAGACCTCTGCTGATGAGTCCGCTCCCTCGGCCCGCAGCAGCTCAGGGCCCCTGAAGTTCCCGCTGCGTTTGAGTTTGGAACCTGTGCTGGTTTCCCAAGCGATCCACCAGCTTTCAGTGTCCTTTGCCTTAATTAACACCCATCAGAATGCTTTTGTTCTTGCTGCAAGCCGCGAAAACCAACTCCAGCTGATTTCAGCGTGGAGAACCTTTATTAGAAGGGTCTGGGGCCGGGGTTGTAGCACAGTGGCCCACACCTGCCTGGCAAGTGTAAGGCCCTGAGTTTGATCCCCGATACTAAAAAAAAGGAGGAGTCTGAAAGTTAGCTGGGCGTGGTACAAACGCCTGTGACCTCAGCGCTTGGGAGGCTGCAGAGTAGGGGTCACCACAAATTGGAGCTCAGCCTGGGCTACATAGTTCAAGGCCAACCTGGAGTACACAGCAAGACCCTGTCTCCAACAAATACATAAATAATAATAATAGTCTGGTGGCCAGTCATGGTGGTGCACTGCTGTAATGTGAGCGTCCTGGAGGGCTGAGGCAGGAGGAGGATCTCAAGTTTTGAGTTTAGCCTGGGTAGGGGTTGGGGATGGAGTTCAGTGCAAAGATCCTGGGTTCAGTCCCTGGTTCCATCACACACACACACACACGCACGCACGCACGCACAGGCTAAGAAACTCCTACTCATAAATGGAGAAAGGCCAGCCTGTTCTCCCAAGGCCAGCCCAAATCCTACCAGTGGGTGTATTCTCAACGTAGCAGGGAGATGGGCTCTGCCTTCATTCCCAGAAGAGTAGTTTGAATTCTGGAATTACACAGGTGTGCCACCACGTCTGAATATGGATTCACAGTTTAAAAAAAAAATTTTGTAGTGAGTTCAGGCCCAGCCTGAACTACTTAGTGAAACTTGATCTCAAAAAAATATTTTTTAGTTGGGTGTAAGTGGTACACACCTGTGATCCCAGTACGTGGGAGGCTGAGGCAGGAGGATCACCATGAGTTCGAGGCCAGCCTGGGTTACATAGTGAGACTCTGTCTCAAAAAACTTTAAAAATTTTTATTTTGCAGTACTGAGTATTGAATCCAAGAGTCACTGAGCTACATCCCCAGTCCTTTTTTAAATTTTTTATTTATATTGAGACAAGGTCTTGCTGAATTGTCCAGACCGGCCTCAAGCTTGGGATTCTCCTGCTTTAGCTTTCTAAATAGCTGGGCTGGGTGCCATGTGAATGCGTGTGTGTGTGTGTGTGTGTGTGAGATGGGTCTCACTGTGTTGCCCAGGCTGGCCTAGAATTCCAGGGTTTAACTGGACTTTCTGTTCAGCGTCTCACATAGCTGGGACTACAAGCACATGCTACTATGCCCGGCTTGTATTCCAATTTAAAACCAACTTCAATTATGAAAACTTTTTCCTGGTACTTAGGATCGAAGCCAGTGAGCGTCATTGAGCTAACATCCTTAGCTCCACTCCCCCCACCCCCTTTTTGGACAGGATGTTTTGCAAAGTTGCCCAGGCTGGGCTCAAACTTGCAATCCTCCTACTTCAGCCTCCCAGAGTACTGGGGTTGTAGGCATGCGCCACCACACCTGGCCAATTATTAGTTTCTAGAAGAACGTTTAAAACCCAAGTCCAAGTACTTACCGACTACCTCCAGGTACTGGATGGACAGATTGACTGCTGTGGGTCTCCGATTCCTTGTCTCTCCAGGGTGAATGGAAAGCTCCACGAGACCTTGTCCAGGGGAGATAGTCTACGATTCTGTGACTCCGTTGCTAGATTAATCTGAACTCATTCCAACTCGGAGTTGGCAGGAGGCTGTCACTACTGTGTAGGGAAAAACTATAAATTAAATATAGAGTCACTGCGCCCACTTGTGGCCATTTATGGAAACTGCATTTCTTCAGTGCGCTATGACTGCTCGAAGCCCAAGAATTTGAGGTAAACAAAATAAATACTTTCTCCCAACTGCCACTAAAATGGCAATAGAGAATTTTAAAGGCATGAGCCTACAAAGATTTAAAAAAACGAGGACAAAGACATCTGCAGGTGATAATTATAATTTTTATGTAAAAATTGAACAATAAAGTCTTTAAAAAATGGAATACAGACCTGACAAGAGACCATAAATTATAACCTAAGTGTTTTTTAAAGGGGGGTGACAATAAAAAGTGATCAGATTTGCCCTGAAAAATCCCAGGGGTAGCCAGGCGTGGTGGCACATGTCTGTAATCCCAGCACCCTGGAAGGCTGGATGGTAAATTTAAGTCCAGTCTGGGCACCTTGACTTAGTAAGACTCTGTCTCAAAATAAAAAATTAAAAAGGGCTTGGGATGTAGTTCAGTATGAAGGCCCTGGATTCAATCCCAATACCAAGAAAAAAATCCCAAGGGTTCCGGGATTTACAGGCGCCGGTCACCATGGAAAACCTAGGCAGGTGGCAGTAGACTAAAAAGGGCAATTGACGGAGGCCGGCGCAGGACATGGGGGCCCCTGAGTGTCCTTGCTGCCACCCTCCTGCAGGCTGGATATTTGCATAAATGGACGTTTAAGAGCTCAGGCTTGGGGCGGCCAGTCAGGCCCCACGCGGGAACGGAGGGAGCCCCTGCATACTGAATGCCAGGCTCCTCAGCGCCTTCCTCCCCTCCCTTCCCCAGAGCTGCAGTTCTGCATGTTCCCAGGCAGAAGACAAGGAAGCTGTTCTCAGAAGGCCTGGCCCAAGAGAAAGGATCCACCTTGCAAATTCTGTCGAGAGGAAGATCCCTGACTGAAAGGCCAGCTCACTGCAGTGTCGCTTGTTCCAGGCCTGCAGCCAAAAGGATGAACGAACGTACACACAGGAAGACTAATAAAAACCCATGTGTCTGACACCCACATTTAACAGATATTCGCATGTGACCAGATACATGGTTTTTTTACGTTAACAAAGATGAGTAAAACAACTAACAAACAGACAAAACTTAAGGCAGAAAAAAGAAATTGCAGAAAACGGAAGGAAAAAACCAAACTCACTTTGAGTAGTATTCTTGGATGTGAGATATACTGAATCCATAAGGGTTGCTGTAAAAAAGGGAAGAATGAGAAGGAAGGACTCAAAAATTGTCAGCTCAAGTAAAAGATTGAAAAGAAGAAATAGAAGATAAAAGTCAAGAAAATCTCCCAGAAAGTAAAGCAACAAACAACAGAAAGAAAAAAAGAAGGGAGAAGCCAGGCATGGTGGCACATGCCTGTCTGTAACCCCAGCACTTGGGAGGCTGAGGCAGGAGTATTGCTGTGAGTTTGAGGCCTACCTCACTCCTTAGGAATCTACTTCAGCAGAACGAATGCCTGCAGTGAGGAAGAGGAAGGCCTGGGACTTGGAAAGCGAGGACTCAATGATGACGTGTGACATCTGGTGACCCTGTGACTCAAGAGGGGAGGAAGCCAAAGAGCAGCCCTCGAAGCTGTGGAGACCACACCCCTGAAGCCGGGTAGGATGTGCTGGGTCTCCGCTGGGCCTCCAGCAACTCCCTGTCCTGGCTCAAGGTAGGTGCCCAGCAAGTGCTGTTAAGGGCTAGCGGCTGAAGTTCCAAACACGAGCTGCAGGGGTGAGGGGCGAGCCCTCGCGGGCCAGACTCCCACTCCCACCTGGGCACAGCTGACTGCATCACCAGGTTCCCCACAACACGAGAACAGTCCGAGGGATGCATAGGTCACTTAGAAATCATTTTTATTTTGTTGTTATTTATTTTTCTTTTTTGTGGTCTTAGTGAGTGCTCTACAGCGGAGCTGCATTCCTGGCCCTTGTTATTTTATAAATTTTAATTATTATTATTATTATTATTATTGCACTGGGGATGGAACTCAAGGATGCCATGCCATGAATCTACATCGGCAATCCTTGTTATTTTGAGACAAGATCTTACGAAGTTGCCCTAGCTCACCTTAAACTTTCAATCCTCCTGCCTCAGCCTCCTGAGTAGCTGGGATTGCGGCTGTGCACCACCATGCTTGGCTTTCATTTTTGACCTATAAAAAGCCTTATACATTGCATGCATCTTGATCAGCCCAGGGTCTGTGTACATCTCTGAATCCCTCACTATCATCTGGCCATAAATGTACCCGTCACCTCCCAAAGTCTCCTCCCACCCCCATTATTATTATAATTATTATAATTATTAGGGGTTTTCTTTTACTGTAAGAATGTTAACTCAAGACTGACCCTCTTAGCAGTGCTGAGCAGACAATACAATATTCTCAGCTGGGGCCCTGTGCGGGGCAGCCTCCCCACGCTCTCTTGCCCGGCCCCTGGCTGCCGCCCTTCCACTCTCTTCCCTGGGTTTGACTCTTTCAGGGCCCCACGTGGAACCTGCAGTACTTTTCTGAGTCTGGCTTATTTTCGCATCCACGTTGCCGTACTTTGACTTAGAGACACGCAGAGATGCAGCCTGACCTGCCCACAGCCACACAGCGATAGGACAGAGCTGCAGGACCCGAACGCCTGGCTTCCGCCTGGGCCTCTCCCTTCATCACTGGCTCCTCTGCCACCTGGGGACCTGACCCAGTACCGACCTCCTCGTGGTAATCGCGCCTCGAGCTGGAGGAGATGCCGGATGCGGTGACACTGCCCCCTTGGGGTCCCCGGTGTAACAACAGAGAGGAAGGTTTTTACTCCACGGTAGTTCTTAGCGTTTGTAAAATCCACTGGGGAATTGGAAAATGCTTCCTCGAGGAGTAGCTCCAAGCCCCTTGGAAGAGCAAAACAGGAAGGTTATGATGTCTCATTTAAGAGTAGGGAAACAATTTGAGGTGTCCAGAAATGTCTCTCCTAAGCTGGGCCTGGTGGCACACATTATTCTGAGAGGCTGAGGCAGGAACATTCCAGGTTCAAGCCCAGCCCAGGCAGTTTATCAACTAGTGAGACGATGTCTCTGAATGAGTGAATGGATGAGGATGTAGCTCAGTGGGAAGGCCTTCGGTTCAATCCTAGCACTATCCAGTAAAACTGAGGTCTCCTTGATTCAGATTCTACAGCCCCCAGTCCGCACGCTCCGGAAGCGCTGTCTCTACGAACCTCTGATTGTTCCCCCAGCATCGGTAACAGTGCCATGGCCAGCGGAGCTCCTGGGGGGGCGGCAGCAGGCCCGTCCACTGTGCCCGGCTTCCCAAAGGCTGCCTTCCTGCCCGTCTGCTGCTGCTCCTCAGACTTGCTGGTGTTCCCTTCCTCTCTGACAGCCAAGCACTGGAGCGTCGCAGCCCTCAGCACTTCAGTCCCCGCCTGCCCCCGAGTGCCTGGGGAGACTCAGGCTAGTGGCTCTGGACATCAGGTGTGCACCGATGACTGCCACTGTGGCATCTCCAGGCGGAGCCTCTCCCCGGGCCCGCACCAGCTCAGCCGCGCTCTGGGGCCACGGGTCCCGAGACGAGCTCCTGATTTCTGTCCAACAGCGCGCAGCCTTCCCAGCAGCAGCTGCCTTCTCATTCAGTTTCTCTCACTCTGCACCCGCCCGTCAGCGGATCTTATCAGCTGTGCCCAGAATCCAGCCACATCTCTGCCACCACAGCACTGACTGCCTGGTCCTGCACTTGTCACCCCTGCAGGTGTGACATGGGAGACCCCGACAGTCCTGCCTCCCGCCCCACCCACAGGCCCTTCCAACAGATCACACAAAATGACCTCTTAAGACATGCGTTTTGCTGAACCCGCTAATAGGTTTCCTGTCTCGCTCAGAATGGAATCTGAATTCCTAAACTGCTGGCCGGGTCCCCATTCCGGTACTGACTGGACCAGGCCAAGCTGCTGTGCCCGGGGACCTTTGCCCTTGCTGTTGTTCCTTCTTTCCGCATCTCAGGTTGGCGTGTAGTTCCCCTTCCTTCTGGGCTCACCCAACATCAAGCCCTGCCCAGTCATGCTTCACAGAGTACAGGGCAACCCCAGCCTGGCCTTCCCTGTCCTCATCACCATTTTTTCAACGACCTGACTTTACCCTACAAGGAACCACGAAAAGAACGACTCAGGCCCAAAGTTAGCAGGTTGAGGGAAATAATTAATTCAAACAGAAGTAAACAAATAGAGAATAAAGAAACAATAGGGAAAAAATGATACTACATGGGCTTTTTTTTTGGTACCGGGGATCGAACTCGGGACCTGGCACTTGTGAGGCCGACGGTGGCACCACTGAGCTAAATCCCTGGCCCTTAAGTTGGTTTTTGAAGATCAGCAAAGTTGGTGAACCTTTAGCTAGGTAATGAAAAAACATTGAAATAATTACAATCGAATGAATGATTGTACAACTGATGCCACAGAAAGAAATTATAAGAGACTTTGCAACTATGCACCAATAAATTGGACAATTACAAGAAATGGATAAATTCCTAGAGAGACAGCATTTAAAAATCTGAATAGGCCTGTAACTAGGAAGGAGGGTGAATCAGTAATTAAAAACTTCCCCCAGAGAAAAGCCCAGGACCAGGTGGCCTCACTGGAGAATACTCCTTTTTTGTGTGTGTGCCCGGGGATTGAACTCGGGACCTTGTGCTTGCGCGGCAGGTGCCGGAACCACTCAGCTAAATCCCCGGGCCACTGGAGAATACTTCTAAACTTAGGAAAGAATTAACAACAATGCTTTTCAAACTATTTCCAAAAATTGAAGGAAAAGGGAACACCTTCAAATTCAGGAGGCCAGCATTACCCTAATTCCAGCTCCAGACAAAAATATCACAAGAAAGGAAAACTACAGACCAGTATCTTCCCAAATCCTCAACATGCTGGGTGCAGTGGTACAGAAAGGCTGAGGCAGGAGGATTGAAAGTTTGAGGCCAGCCTTGGAAAACTTAGTAAGACCCTATCTCAAAATATAAAAGAACTGGGGATGCAGCTCAGTGGTAGAGCACTCTAGGTTCAATTCGATCACCGGAACTGCAAAAATAAAAAAATAACATGCTGTGACCAAGTGAAATTTATCCCAGGGACACAAGGATTGTTCAACATATGATTATTAATAAATGTTAGGGCTGGGGATTTAGCTCAGTGGTTCTGCCACCTGCCTCGCGAGTGCAAGGACCCGAGTTCGATCTCTGGTACCAAAAAAAAAATGTAATATGCCACATTAACAAAACAAAGGACAAAAATCACAGTCACCTCAGTGGATGTGGAAAAGGCATTTGACAAAATTAAACCTCTTTTGGTGGTAAAAACACTCAACATTCTAGGAATCTAAGGAAATTACCTCAACATAGTTAAAGGTCACATATGAAAAGTCCACAGCCAGCATTATATTTAATGGTGAAAAACTGAGAGTTAATCCTCTGAATTAGGAACTAGGCAAGAATGCTCACTCCTGCCACTTCTATTCAACTTAGTACTAGCAGTCTTCCCCAAAACAGGAAGGCAAGGAAAGGAATAAAAGGAACCCAAACTCAAAAGGAAGAAGTAAAATTGCCTCTGCTCACAGATGACATGGTCCTAGATGAAGATAATCCCAAGCATTCCACAAAATAGCTGTTAGAGCTGAAGATTCAGCAGAGCTGCAGGATACAAATTCAATACTCAAAAATCAGTTCTGCCAGGGCTGGGGATTTAGCTCAGTGGTTCTGCCGCCTGCCTTGCAAGCTTAAGGACCCGAGTTCGATCCCCAGTACCAACAAAAAAAAAACCAGTTCTGCCAGGTGTGATGTTGCACACATGTAATCCCTGCACTCTGGGAGGCTGAGGCAGGAGGATCAAAAATTGGAGCCTGGCCTAGGCAATTTGATGCTTTCAAAATAATAATAATAATAATAATAATTTTGAAAAGGGCTGCGGATGTATCTCCATGAGAAAGTCCTAGGTTCCATCCCCAGTATCACACACACAAGGAAAGAAGGAAAAAATCAGTTGTGTGTCAAGGTTAGTTCATTAGTAAGGTGGCTGGCTAGCATTGCAAGGCTTTGGGTTTGATCCCCAGCACCACAAAAATAATTAATTACAAATACCATGTAATAGTGATTTCATGGTGAATTTTGAGTTTCTGCACTGGGTTTACATGTCAGGCAGGGCAGGACGATAACACACAGGGTAAATCCAGTTTACCAAGAAGCCCTTCCCGACAGCTGGTCAGTCACTGCAGGTGACCAGGGTGGACTCCAGAAACTTCTGGCTTGACCAGAGCAATAAAACTCAGGGTCCTCAGTGGCTGACTTCTGGCCCAGCTCCCGGCCTTTGGCTGCTGGCTGGTGGGAAGCAAAGCGTCTGTGAGGCAGGTGGTAAGAGTACTTGTTGACTTGTCTGATTAAAAAGTATTAAGCGTGTTGTGGTTTTTGTGATGGGAGCAATTCCACTCCGCTAGGACATGTGGGATCTCTCCCCTTTTCCTGTCTTGGTTCTGATGGTATCCCGGCATGTCGACTGTTGGGATTTATTGCCATCCTTGGAGCATCAGGTCTTAAATCTGGAAGTGGAAGCTGAACATCCTTTGGAGGCACAGATAGTATCCATGTTTAGTATGGATATCCATGCTCATATCTGCAGAGTTTTTAATTTTAAAAAAGCTTAAATTAGCAGTTTTTTTCTTTCCATAGATTGTGCTTTTGGTGTCATGTATTAAGTCATCTAGCCCAAGATCACCTAGATTCTGTGTTTTCTTCTAAGAGTTTTATAGCTTTGTATATAACATTTATGTCTATGACCCATTTTAAATTTTTTGAAAGGTATAAGGTCTTTGTTCAGATTCATGGTTTGTGTGTGTGTGTGTGTGTGTGTGTGTGTGTGTGTGTATTTGAACTTGCAATCTTCCTGTCTCAGCCTCCCCAGGTGTTAGGATTACAGGTGTGTGCCACCACACCCAGCTCAGATTCATGGTTTTTTTTAAATTAAAATTTAAAAAAAATTTTTTTTGGTACCAGGGATCAAACTGAGGAACTTGCACTTTCGAGGCAGGCAGCGGAAACACTGAGCTAAATCCCCAGTCCTCAGATTCATGTTTTTGCATGTGTACTTCCAATTGTTCCAGCACCTTGTGTTGAGGACTACCCTTTTCCCATTGGATCATTTGTCAGAGATCAGTTGACTGTTTTTGTGGATCAGTTTCTGGCATCCTACTCTATTCAGTCACTCAGAGTGGAATTTCAGTGGAAGGAATTACAGTATTGGGCAACTTGGTAAACAAAGGCAAAGCTGTTGGAGCCTCAGCCAATTCATTGGCTTGACTCACACCAAGGATGTTGGGTGATTTCTAGTTAGGATTCATCTCTGATTGTCACTTAGACCTAGACACACCGAGTCTATCTGAAGTGTTTACTTAGGCAGGTGTGATTCTGAAATGGTATAAACACACTGTCATGAAGCCTCTCTCTGGGGAAACACCTTCAATAGAGGGATTGTTAAAGGATTCTTTTGGTGTTTTGTTTTGTTTTTTAATTCTTTTTGAGACAGGGTTTTGTTATGTAGTTCAGGCTGGCCTTGAGCTCATTATGTAGTCCAGGCTGGCCTGGAACTCCTGGTGATCCTCCTGCCTCAGCCTCCTGAGTGCTGGGATTACAGGCATGGGCCACAATGCTTGGCTTTGTTAAAGAGTTCTGAAACTTGTTCTCTTTTGGGAATAAACAACACCACTTAAAATCAAGAGATGAAAAGGATAACAAAGCTTCAGTTTTAAATGCCTTAGTGATTGCAGAAATTAGTTAAAGGAAATTATACAAAATTAAAAAGAGGAGGGCCGAGGATTTAGCCCAGTGGTTCCATTGCCTGACTCGCAAGCACAAGGACCGGAGTTCGATCCCCGGTACCAAAAAAAAGAGGAATGAATAATAATGTGGCTCAGTAGTAGAGCCCTTACCTCACATGCATGAGGTCCTGGGTTCCATTTTTTGTCTGTTTGTTTGTTTTTTTGGTACCGGGGATCGAACTCAGGTCCTTGGGCTTGTGAGGCAGGTGGCAGAGCCACTGAGCTAAATCCCCGGCCCCTGGGTTCCATTTTTAACACCACAAAATAAAAAAGAATAATGAAAATAATGAAATGGTAACCATTTATGACTTCTTTGTACATTTATTTATTTGTGTATTTATTTTTCAGAGACAAGGTCTCACTATGTAATTCAAGCTGGCCTTGAATTCACTATGTAGCCCAGACTGGCTTCGGACTCCTGATGACCCTCCTGCCTCAGCTTCCCACGTGCTGGGATCACAGGCATATTCCACTCTGCCTGGCAACTTTTATGACTTTTTAAAAAGCTATTTAGTGTCAGAATTTCTAGGAAGATGGCAGAATGGTAAGCAGCAACACATCAACCTCTCTAAGATTCAGAATCCAGACACTGGAAAATAACAATCAGGGAAGAAAAGAAGGAATGAGGTGGATCCCTGGAACCCAGGGAGGATCTGAAGGAAAATTAGAGCACATAGAGAAAGTGAAGAGACAGACCTCAATGCAGAAAAAGGAGGGGGCAATCTGTACTTTCTCCCTGGCTCCTGGCTCCAGGTGTGAGAGAGGAGGATCGAATCTACAGTGACATGGTGAGGGTGGGTGACTCCAGAGGCCTCCATGGAGAAATGCACCAGTGGAGTGGAGCAGTGGACACTGTGTGCTTCAATAGCTGGTGAATGACTCCAGTCCAAGCCACTTTCGTGTCCCCTAGAGAGGATGACTGGGCAGATGCCAGTTTGGAGGGGCCCATCTGAACCAGGAACTCGAAGTAGCTGTGGGTTGGCTTCATCTGAGGGCTCCTAATGTTGAAATCCCACAATGACTGGGTGAAGGACAGCTGCAAGAGACATCCAGGGTCAGGTATCTGTGGTTGGGCCAGTAGTAGGAGACACCCAGAGTGTTGTAGGCTGAATGACTCAGACCCTAACCCCACAGCCAGAGGCCAGGATCAGCCTGAACTTCTGTGGATTTGAAAGTACCTGAACCAGCACCTTGCCTTAATTCTACTGCAGCCTTGCTAGGATTATCCAGCCCGGATCTGGGATCTGACTTCCACAGACTTCTGCCTTTGTGTATCAGCAAGAGAAGAGTCACATCCTGAATTGGAACACAAAACTGTAGATCCCAGGAGATAACCACAGGCTTGAAATCACAGTGGAATTTCTTTTGTTTTTCTTGGCTTTTTTTTGTTGTTGTTTGTTTATTTATTTTTTTTGTGAGTGTGAACATTGATTTTAGGGTTTTGTTTTGTTTTGTTCTTGTGTTTGTTTTTCCTTTGTTCTTTCCCCCTGTCTGTCTTCTTCACCAGTTTCCCAAGGCTTGGGTAATCTCCCTCTGTCCTTCAGTCTTGCTTCTAATCTCTTTCTCTGCTTTTATTTATCTATTTTTTCCCACTTATCCCTTTTGAATTTTCTCCTCAGGATAAAATAGTTCTGCGGAGAGGATATGTACTGTATGTAATTGTCTGATGTGTCTTATAGTTGTATAACTATAAATCTTGTACCTATGATTAAAGTTGGCAAATTAATAGTTATCACAGTTTGTCATTTTCTAATCTGTGCTTGATGCTGTTGTTATTACTGATTGTACTACTTTAGCCAAGTTGACATAGTTGTTGTGATCAAATGATCTTCCTTGTATGCCAATACTTACATTGTCTGGGGGTCATAAGCAATACTATAGGCTGGGGATTTAGCTCAGTGGTTCTGCCACCTGCTTTGGAAGTGCAAAGTCCTGAGTTCGATCCCCGGTGCCAAAAAAAAAAAAATACTATAGTTCAGTATCAAAGAACTGGGTGCTAGGCCAAACAGACAGCAACCATTTTTCCCCCAATAAATTGGAACAGACTCAAAAGCTAAAAGCCACCTATGTTTAGAAGTTATCTCTGAAAAGTAGTCATTTCCTAAAGAGGCCTCAATACTAGTAATAAAGCTACCTACCATAATCAATTTATAAGCCTCAATGCAGAAGATAAATAGAAAAAAAGAAAGAAAGAAAGAAAATGAGAAAACACAGAAGCAAGATGCAACCCATACCCCTAACTCACCCAAGGCAAATCAAGGAGGCATTGAGGTAGAAGAAATAAAAAAAATACAAGCTGAATTTCATGAAATGATGGCAGCAGAAGTAACAAA